TTCCTTATCTTTATGTAGGAATCCTAATAAATGAGATTTAAAGTTCACAACTAGCAATTTTGCAATATTAGGAGCTGTCCTCGGGGGATGCAGAATTATTATTATTATTTTTTTTTTTCAAATATTGTATTCACTGACATTTATTTTGTATTTATATTTTTGTTTAAACTATGGAGTCCATATATCTTTGTCCCACTGATTTGACTACCGGTATGTTGTGTACTGTATTTGTTCGTGTGGATTGTTGTCAGTCATTTTGTATTTTTTTACTTTTATAATTTTTTCTCTAAATATGCCTTTAGTGCATGGATCAACAGTTGGGTATGGTATTTGGATTGTGCAAACATGGTGACTGGGATCATTGACTCAGTGAATTTTGTTGTATTTCTTAAATGAACCCACACTGTATCACAGGCACTTTCATAATTCTTGATATGCCATGTACTGATGTTGTCTTTATTTACACAAACAATTCTCAATTCTCATCGCTTCATGCAAAACAAATCAGGTTCCAAAATCGAGTGACTTCAATGGGTCTGCTAATAACAGTTATTTCGTTTATTTTCCATTCTGTGCAAGTACCATTGGAGAGCCAAGGACTCTTTATACAGAAGTTGATCCAACAAGGAATTGTTAAAATCTTTCTATTGGTACATGTATACAAAAATATATTTACTATATTCACCAAAAGAAAACAAAGCTACGCTTCTAGATATCCAATGAACTTCAAGAAACAAAGGAAACCAACTGGACCAAACAGCCTTTGTACTTAAAAATAGAAAGTGTTAAGAACCAAAAGGGAAGATTTTTTGCCCAATCTTCTATGAATTTTTGCTGAGAACATGAATTCAGTCCAGCAGTTAGATTTAGGTTATTCATTGGTGACGCCCCAAAATCACTCTGGTGATGAAAAATCAACAGTAAGGCAAGGAGGTGAGGAACTGCATTTCAAAAAGATATTTTATATATGGTGTATATAAAAACAAAAAAAAAGCATTCACCTATTATTGTGAAAACAAAGGTACCATCTCAGTGGCCAAGTTGAGAGGATGTTCATCCTCCAATGTAATTGAACTATGACACTGAACAACAAACTAGCAGAATCATGGTTATTATAATTCATTTTTTTTTAAAACTATAAAATATTAATACATATCATCAGGCAAATTGAATTAATAATTAGAATTCTATAAACAGTGTTTTTCGCTCAAACCAAATATCTGTTGTTTCACACTCATTAATATAATAGAATAAACGTATTGTCATGATATGTTAATTCTTACTATTATTATTTTATTTTCAGTTCTACTTTTTTGTTTATTATCAGGACATGTTAAATCAGAATCCATAATGACTGTAATAATTTATATTGATTAAAATATTTCCATGGCTACGCTGAATAGATTTATGTGAAAATTCCGGCCAGTGATAATTACTAATGTAGTTATTATTAATTTTGTTGTTATCTGCAGCTGGTCACAGTGATCGACTAATGTCACAATGTAACAGATGATCGGAGCACACTACACCTGCTATACAATGGCTGACATTAATTGATCCAAAGAAAAATAATTCTCCCGAATAAATGAAGTGTCCACATAGATGTGCACACATACGTGTTTAAGTGTACACGAATTGAGAGTGCGCGTGCAAAAGCAAAGCACGTGAGAGAACAGGCGGCGGACACCATATTACTTACCATTTCCTCGGTAAAGTCTGCTCCAATACTTCACGAATCAAGCTATCTTGGCTTGAGAATGTAACCACGCACACGTGGAGACCACATTCTTGGGCTTCGGCGATGAGCTTGATCATACTTGGGCGTACATGCTTCGCCAAGCGATCGCCACCTTCGCACCAGTAGCCACCGGTATGAATCGTCAATATCGTTTCGTCAAAATCGAAAGCAAGTACCTTAATCCCTTTTCGCAACATTCGACCGACCGCAACTTGTGATGTATTGCTCATAGCTTGTTTCTGTTCATATTCTGGCGATTATAAGTAGATAAATAAGTACACGATTCGCAGAAATGCATAAATAATTAAGGCGGAAATACGCCGACAATATTTTAAATGTTGATCATGGCTTATGGGGTCAAAGGTTTATTTAAATAGCGCCCTCGGTGTTTAGCATAGAAAGTTATTTCGTTTGGCAAGAAAATAGTGTTGTCAATATACTCTCATTCCATTGAATAAATTACATTACACTTCATTAATCCAATGATGGATGAGCCAGAGATGTGGCAGCATTTCCCGCGTTAAGACGGGTGTATAGAACAGGCACTCTCATGATATACGTGTGATCACACAACTTTCAAATTGGGCAGAGCTACTAAGGAGCCGCAGCTCCCGACGCGCCCGTCAACGACTCCAATACCACATAACGCTACGTATTCTAGAAGAATCAGACAAAAACTCCACTCTTCAAAGTTGCACTAGCCAATCACATGGTAATGAGTCATCATATTCGAACGTTTAACCAATCATATGCATTTCCGTTAACAATATCAATAGTACATGATGTCATTCTTACAGTTGAAGTTGTATCTATCAACGGTGACCTGGGAAGGAGGTCACTTTCCGAATTCTATATGTCAAGATTGCAGTTATTAATGGCACAAATATACCCCAGACCATTCGTCCCGGTGTTATCGCTATCGCCACACGAGACTCCAGCTTGTCTTCCTATACAATTTGACTGCGCACATCCAGAAAGTAGATGTAGCTGTGAT